GGCTGGGGATTTAGCTCAGTGGTTTCGCCACCTGCTGCAGAAGCTCAAGGATCCGACTTTGATCCCTGGTACCAAAATAAATAAATAAATAATAAATAACTTAAGTAATGTTAACAATAAAACATACTTTAATAAAATAAAATATTTAATAAATGTTAATAAGTCAAATGTAGTGGCACATACTTATAACTCCAGTACTTGGGAGGCAGAGGCAGGAGGATCCCCACAATTTTGAGGCCAGCTTGAAGTACACAGCTGGACCCTGTCTCAAAAAAAAGTTAATAAAGGCCAGGGATTTAGCTAAGTGGTTCCACCACCTGCCTTGAAAGCTCAAGGTCCTGAGTTCGTTCCCTGGTACCAAAAAAAAAAAATCCTAATTATAAAAAAAAGTTAATAAATATTACCTATTATTTATGGAAATAAAATTTACTTTTAGTTATGTTAGTATATTCCAAATACTACATATGATATACTTAAATTGTTAATTTAGTCAGGTGCATCTGTAACCCTAATACTTAGGAGGCTTAGGCAGGAGGATTGCAAGTTCCAGCCCATTTTAAGCTACATAGATAGTTCCTGGCCAGCCTGTACTACATGGTGAGACAACATCTCAAAAAGAAAACAAGGAAAAAGGTTTATTAAAAAAGAATGTGTATAAAATTTATGACTAAATAGTATTCATGTAAATAACAGAGAATTTTGTTAAATATTAATAACATGAAAATTTATTTTAGCATAGCATTTCTCAAATATCTCATCAGATATATTTGTACTAAAATTATTTAAGAAAAATACTAAATACTAAGTAATATATATTGTTTATATATAATAAAGTACATGTGTGTGTGTTGGTATTGGGGGATTGAACTTGGAGCTCCAAGCTACATCCAAAGCTTTACTTATTTATTTATTGGTTTCTTGAGACAGTGTCTTGCTATGTAGTTCAAGGTGGCCTTGACCTCCTCCTGCCTCAGGCTTCCAAGTGCTGAAATAACAGCTGTGATTCTATTATCAAAATAATAGAATGCTGAGGCAGGTGGATCATTGTGAGTTCCAGCCAGCCTGGGCTACATAGTGAACTCAAGGCCAGCCTGAACTACATAGTGAGACCCTGTCTCAAAAAGGAAAAAAGAGAAAGAAAACAACAAAGCAAAAGAAAACCAAACCTCAAAATAAAAAGGACTGGGGTGTTGCTAAGTAGTGGAACACTTGTTTAGCATACATGAGCCCTGGGTTCCATCCCCAATATTGTTTAAAAAAAAAAAAGCCCTTTTTTGGGGGGGGGCGTGGGGGTGGTTTGAGACAGGTTCTCACTATGTAGTTCAGGCTGGTCTTTAACTCACTGTGAGGCCCAGGATGGCCTCGAACTCAGCAATCCACCTGCCTCAGCTTCCCAAGGGCTGGGATTACAGATGTGCACAACCATGCCTGACAAAAAGCCTTTATTTTAGCATATCTCATGAGGTTCGTGGCATATATGTACTAAAAATGATTCCATTTTCTAAAATTCAAACTTCACTGGAGACTTTACGTGTTTATTTGCTAACTGAAGGCCCTGCTCTTGGTGGGAAGGACTTGGCATAGCTGGGAGGGGCGTGGCCAGACAGGGAAGGTGTGGTCAGGGTGGGGCATGACTGGGGAGGCCAGGGCGTGGCCATAACCGTGGGGCGTGGCCAGGGAGGGAGGCGGGGCTTGGTGCTTTGAGGACGTGGCCAAGCCTTGACTGCTCCCGCACTGCAGGCAGGTACTGCGAGACCACAATTGCCTGCAGACCCTTCTGCAACACTTGACGTCGCACAGCCTGACCATCGTGAGCAACGCATGTGGCACGCTCTGGAACCTGTCTGCACGCAGCCCTCGCGATCAGGAGCTGTTGTGGGACCTGGGGGCTGTGGGCATGCTGCGAAACCTGGTGCATTCCAAGCACAAGATGATCGCCATGGGCAGCGCGGCTGCCCTACGCAACCTGCTGGCCCATCGGCCCACAAAGTACCAGGCAGCAGCCACAGCCATCTCCCCAGGCACCTGTGTGCCCAGCCTTTATGTGCGGAAGCAGCGGGCACTGGAGGCTGAGCTGGACACCCGGCACCTGGCACAGGCACTGGGCCACCTGGAGAAGCAGGGTCTGCCTGAGGCCGAGGCTGAGGCCACCTCCAAGAAACCGCTGCCACCCCTGCGGCACCTGGATGGATTGGCCCAGGACTATGCCTCCGACTCTGGCTGCTTCGATGATGATGATGCACCGTCCCTGGCGGCGGCTGCCGGCAACGCGGAGCCCGCCAGTCCAGCTGTAATGTCCTTGTTCCTGGGCAGCCCCTTCCTGCAGGGCCAGGCTCTGGCCCGCACCCAGCCTGCCCGTCACAGTGGCCTGGAGGCTCAGAAGGAGTCTGGGGGAGATGCTGCTGTGGCAGCCAAGGCCAAAGCCAAGCTGGCACTAGCAGTTGCTCGAATTGACCGGCTGGTGGAGGACATCTCCGCTCTGCACACCTCGTCTGATGACAGCTTCAGCCTCAGTTCTGGGGACCCCGGGCAGGAGGTCCCCAGGGAGGGCCGCGCTCATTCCTGCTCACCATGCCGGGGCTCTGAGGGTGCGCGGAGGGAGGCTGGCAGCCGGGCCCATCCGCTGCTCCGTCTCAAAGCCGCACACGCCAGCCTTTCCAATGACAGTCTCAACAGTGGGAGCACCAGCGATGGCTACTGCCCTCGGGAGCACATGCAACCCTGCCAGCTGGCTGCGCTGGCTGAGCACCGGGAGGACCCTCTGCGTGGGCAGGTGCGGCCCAGCCGGCTGGACCTTGACCTGCGTGGGGGCCAGGCTGAGCCGCCTGCACGTGACACCGCGGCTACTGCTGATGTGGGGGTGCGCACCATCAAGCTGTCACCCACCTATCAGCATGTGCCGCTGCTAGAGGGTGCAGCCGGGGCGGGGGCACGGTCCCTTGCTGGGCCTGGGGCCTCGCCTGGTACCCGGAAGCAAGCGTGGATGCCTGTGGACAGCCTCAGCAAGGTGCCTGAGAAGCTGGCAGGTGGCACTCCATTGCCTGCGGTCAGCAAGGTCCTGCAGAAGCTGGCAGTGCAGGATGGGCCACTGTCCCTCTCCCGCTGCAGCTCTCTGTCCTCACTGTCCTCCACTGGCCATCCTGGCCCCAGTGACGGTGGTAACCTGGATGATAGTGACTCTTCCTTGGAGGGACTGGAGGAGGCTGGCCCTGGGGAGGCAGAACTGGATGGGGGTTGGCGGGGGTCCGGGTCCACCTCACTGCCAGTGGCCATTCCTACACCCCGCAGGGGCCGTGGGCGGGGCCTGGGGGTGGAGGATGCCACGCCATCCAGCTCATCGGAGAACTGTGTGCAGGAGACGCCCCTGGTTCTGAGTCGCTGCAGCTCAGTGAGCTCACTGGGCAGCTTCGAAAGCCCTTCAATTGCCAGCTCTATCCCCAGCGACCCATGCAGTGGGCTGGGCAGTGGGACTGTCAGTCCTAGCGAGCTGCCCGACAGCCCTGGGCAGACCATGCCGCCCAGCCGCAGCAAGACACCGCCGGCGCCACAGGGCCAGCCAGAGACCAGCCAGTTCAGCCTGCAGTGGGAGAGCTACGTCAAGCGCTTCCTGGACATTGCTGACTGCCGAGAGCGCTGCCAGCCGCCATCTGAGCTGGATGCTGGCAGTGTACGCTTCACTGTGGAGAAGCCAGATGAGAACTTCTCCTGCGCCTCCAGCCTCAGCGCACTGGCTCTGCACGAGCTGTATGTGCAGCAGGATGTAGAACTTCGGCTGCGGCCGCCTGCTTGCCCGGAGCGCGAGGAAGGCACAGGTGGAGGGCACCGCCGGCGGGAGGAGGCTGGTGGCCACCTGGAGGGACCTACACCATCCGGGTCTCGCAACCGCTCAGCCACTGACCAGGAACTGAAGCTGCTTCGAGAGTGTCTGGGGGCTGCTGTGCCAGCCCGGCTCCGAAAAGTGGCCTCAGCGCTGGTGTCCGGCCGCCGTGCCCTGCCGGTACCAGTCTATATGCTGGTTCCAGCCCCAGCCAGGGACGATGACTCTGGCACCGACTCTGCTGAGGGCACACCAGTCAACTTCTCCAGCGCTGCCTCACTCAGTGATGAGACCCTGCAGGGGCCCCCCAGGGACCAGCCCTGCACCTCCACAGACAGGCAGAAGCCCACAGGCCGCGCAGCTCCCTCCAGGCAGGCCTCTGGGCACTGGCCCAAGGCAGGGGTTGCTGGAAAGAGCTCTGAACAGACCCGGGGGGCTGGCAGGAGCAGGGCTGGTCTGGAACTGCCTCTCGGCCGGCCTCCAAGTGCACGGTCTGACAGGAATGGCTCTCGCCAGGGTCGCGTGCGTGGTGATGGGGGTCTGCAGTCCCTGTGCCTCACCACGCCCACCGAGGAGGCTGTGTACTGCTTCTATGACTCGGAGGAGGAGCCACCTGTCACCAAGGTGCCGCCCCCGCGGCGGGCATCCGCAATTCCTCGGGCCCAGAAGCGGGATCGACCTGCTGGCCGGAAGGAGACCCACGGTCCCTCCAAGGCTGCTCCACCTGCCCGGGCCCAGCCCAGGCTGATTGCAGATGAGACTCCGCCTTGCTATTCCCTGAGCTCCTCAGCCAGCTCCCTCAGCGAGCCGGAGCCATCTGAGCAGCCAGCCAGCTGTACTCGAGGTGGTGAGTCAGCAGTCACCAAGGATCCAGGCCCTGGCAGCCAACAGGAAAGCTCCCCAAGCCCACGCACTGAGGAGGAGCTGTTGCGGAGGTGCATCGGCTCAGCCATGCCCAGGCACCGGCCTCAGCCCTTGGGCTGTAGGCGTCGAAAGCCCCGAGCTGCCCGGCCAGACCTAAGGCCAAAGGAGGAGCCCCGAGAGTGTGCCGAGCAGGTGGCAGGCTCCGACCCAGCCTCTGACCTGGACAGCGTGGAGTGGCAGGCCATCCAGGAGGGTGCCAACTCCATCGTCACGTGGCTGCACCAAGCCGCAGCTGCAGCCACCCTGGAGGCCTCATCTGAGTCTGACTCCCTCCTGTCCTTGGTGTCTGGGCTGTCCATGGGTTCTATGCTTCAATCATCCAAGCAGAGGAAAGGGCGACAGCCAGGGCCAAGGGCAGAGGCAGGAAGCACTCATCGGTCAGAGAAAAGGGCTCCGGCCCCAGCCAAGAGCAGTGGGAGCTCCCGCTTGCCTGGAGGTCCAGAGAAGCCTCGGGGCACCCGGAAGACTGCACCTGGGGAACCGGCTGTGCTCCGAGGACGCACAGTGATATATGTGCCCAGTCCCGCTCCGCAGACCCAGCTCAAAGGCACCCCGGGTCCCCGCCCCACACGGAAGAAGATGGGGCCTCCTGGGCCCCCACAGTCGGAAGCCCCAGCCAAAACCCCCAGCCCTGGGCAACAGAGGTCTCGGAGCCTGCATCGACCGGGCAAGATCTCCGAGCTGGCCGCTCTGAGCCACCCCCCGAGGAGCGCCACACCGCCCGCCCGCCTTGCCAAGACCCCGTCCTCTAGCTCCTCTCAGACCTCACCTGCCTCCCAGCCCTTGCCCAGGAAGTCCCCTCTGGCCACGCCGGCAGCAGGGCCCCTCCCTGGCCCTGGAATCTCCCCGGTGCCCAAGACCCCAGCTCGGGCCCTTCTGGCCAAACAGCACAAGACACAGAAGTCGCCGGTGCGCATCCCGTTCATGCAGAGACCCGCCAGGCGAGGGCCACCGCCACTGGCCAGGGGAGCCCCAGAATCGGCCCCCAGGGGTCGGGCGGGGCCAGAGGGGATCCCCCGGGCGCGTGGGAGCCGCCTGGGTCTGGTGCGCGTGGCCTCGGCGCGCTCCAGCGGCAGCGAGTCCTCCGATCGCTCGGGTTTCCGGCGACAACTAACTTTCATCAAGGAGTCCCCGGGTTTGTTGCGTCGCCGGCGCTCTGAGCTGTCCTCCGCAGAGTCCGCGACCTCCGCCTCCCAGAGCGCCTCTCCGCGCCGCGGCCGGCCCGCCCTACCCGCGGTCTTCCTCTGCTCCTCACGCTGCGACGAGCTGCGGGCCTCCCAGCGGCAGCCCCCGGCCCCGCAGCGGATCCCGGTGGCGTCGAGTCCCGGGCCCGGCCCCGGCCCCCGCGCGCCCCGGCGCACCAGCTCCGAGAGCCCCTCGCGCCTGCCCGTGCGCGCCCCCGCGCCGCGGCCGGAGGCGGTCAAACGCTACGCGTCATTGCCGCACATCAGCGTGGCCCAAAGGCCCGAGGGCGCCGCCCCCGCTCCTGCTGAAGCTGCCCGCCGCAGCAGCGACGGGGAAGCCAGGCCGTTGCCGAGGGTGGCGGCCCCGGGCACCATGTGGCGGCGCATCCGCGACGAGGATGTCCCGCACATCCTGCGCAGCACGCTGCCCGCCACTGCCCTGCCACTCAGGGGCCCTTCGCCCGACGAAGGCCCGGTCGGGGCTCCGCAGCGCAAGACCAGCGATGCCGTGGTGCAGACGGAGGAGGTGGCCGCGCCCAAGACCAACTCTAGCACCTCCCCGAGCCTGGAGACTCGGGAGCTCCCTCAGGCCCCGGCTGGGGGCCCCGTCCCCGTTTTGGGCAGCGACGTGGACGGGCCTGGCCCCGCCAAGGTCCCTGCCGCTATCCCCTTCGTCCACGAGGGCCTTGGCGTGGCTGTGGGGGGCTTCCCCGCTAGCCGGCATGGGTCTCCCAGCCGCGCTGCGCGGGTCCCGCCTTTCAACTACGTGCCCAGCCCCATGGCAGCGGTGGCAGTGACCAGCGACCCTGCGGCGGTGGAAAAGGCCCCGGCCGGGGCCCCAGCCCACCTCTTGGAGTAGCGGACTAGGCGGGCCGCCCGGAAGCCCCTCTCCAGACCCAGTCCGGCTGCCCGGCGGGCCCTTCCCGTAGAAGCTGCTGGAGGCCCGGCCCTCGGGCGCCCCTCCTGGCTCCCATCAGCCTCCACCCCAGGAAGGCTAAGACCTTGCTTCTGCACCGCGGGGCACGGAGGACTCGGCCACCGAGCACCCAAGGGTGCCTCGTCCCAGGCCCCTCTTTGCACAGAGACCACCCTCCAGCTCGGGCGGGGAACTAACCCCAACTGACCTAGGCGCACCTAGGAGGGCGGGGACACCTCCGGGTCAGCGTCTTCTGTACCTGGGCAACCCTTGCGGGAGGTAACAGCGCCTGCGCGAGGAGAGGACAGCTGGGGAGGATGGCGCCCTGCGCCTGCCAGCTGGGCCCGCCTACGTGGCATCCGCTGTGCGGGAGGAAGCCTCTAATTATGGCTCCTGGTAATTTGTTAATAACGACCTTGCCCGGTTTGTTTTCCTTCTCAGCCCCAGCCGGAGAAGCGTGGGATGAGAGGTGGGGCTCAGCCCCACGGAAAGACAAGCTCTTCAGGGAGCCCCCAGCCAACGTCGCCCTCTTCAGGAGGGTTGGGGTCCCCCAGATCACTTGGCGCTCTGCATCCCGTCGGGGAGGACTGGGGACAGGAAGAGCAGCCTAATGTGGACGCTGGGGGCCAGGAACGCCTTGTCCCTGCTGATGACTGGTGTCAGGGCCCCAGGGAGGGAGATGGGGGCTCAGGGCCAGGTGGCGTGACCTGACCCACTGTCGAGCAAGAGCGTAGAAGGTAAGGGGGTTAGAACCCCTGCAGGGAGCCTAAGTGGAGTTGGGATGCCAGGGCCTGTGCTATAGGGAAGTGGCTGGTTTCTAGATTGTCCCCACTGCTTCCACTGCTGGTCTTGTTCCTTCCAATACCCTTAACCATAACCCTAAGCTGAGCCTTAGGGGGTGAGGCCTAGGCTGCCACAGATACCCAGGATGGAGGTGCTGAGTGTTGTGCCAGAGGTGGAGGGAAACAGAAAGCAGAGGGTGCGGTCCTCAGGCCCTGGCCTGGAGGCTGGAGCTGGCCTCAGGGGACCTGGGCATGAGGTGTGGCTCAGGGGTTCTGCACAGGAACAGGGCTGAGTGTCCTGCAGCTCCAGGATCTTCCTGCAGAAAGAGCCAAGGACCTCTCTCCTGTGGGACCTGCTCTGGCAGAGCTGCTCTTTGCAGAGGATCTGCTGCCACACAGCAACTCCAAGGCTCTCCTAGTGACTTTGGCTCTGTCCAGTCCACAGCAGGCTGAGGTCAAGGGGCCCCAGGACCCATGGTGACAGGAGACCCCATCCCAGAGATAGGGGTTGCTTTGTCCTACAAATTCCACTCTTGCTTTTCTGAAACATATCCTGCAGGACAGACACCCAGGATTGATGGGTAGGATGGCCACCTCCCCAAGGGACAGTGCTGGGGACCCCAGCGCTCCTTCTACATGGGGCTGCTAAGGAGCTTTGGGGGCAGAGCTGGCCTGTGACAACTGGCAGGGAGAGAGGACCTGGCTCCACAGAGGTAACCTCCTCAGGACACACCAGCCAGGTCTCAGAGGCCCCAACCCCAACTGTGGCCTGCACACTAGAGGCAGTCGGATGCTTGCTTGTTCACGCTATGGGTCAACTGCACCCCAAAAGGGCCTGCTGCTGGGCAGTGGATCCCCATCCTGCTGGCTATAGGCCTGGGCCAGCATGGCCCCATCTACCATGCACTGTGAGACCCTGGGCAGTGCTCGCGCCGCCCTGTGCCTCAGTTTCCCCATGTGGGCCATGGGGAGAACTCCCAGAGCTACCTCTTGGGTGAGGAGAGCAGCTGTTATGATGGGGGAGGCACACCCCCCCCCCCCGCCCCATCGTGATGAAAGGGGCTGTTGCTCCTGCTGGCTGCCTCCAGCAGCCACTTCTGCCTTCTCCACCCTCTGTGGCAGGGGGACAGCCACACTCGCTATCTAACTCAGGCAGGACTCTGGGCTAGAACCAGCGCTGGACAGTGGGTTCCAGGAGGGTGGCCAGCGGTGTGGACAGCAACCTGAGGCTGGACCCAGAGGGTACCAGTCTTAGGATACAGATGGTGACCCCATCCCCTGAGGCTTTGGGCCAGGAGGGATGGAGGGGTCACCCCAAGATGGAGACCTGGGCCTCAGGCTGACAGACACTACCCCTCCCTGGGTGCTGACTTGGGGCAAAGTGCCCACCATTACCTCATCTCCTCCCAGCTGTCACACTGGCCTGTGGCCCCCACGCCTGACTCCTGCCTGGTCTGTCCAGCTTTTCTGGCTGCCAACCCCTCATCTCTTTCTGGGGTCTCCTCACAGTGTTAACTGGACATGTAAATAGGTACGGCCTCATGCACCCACCCCATTCATGTAAAGCATCTGTCTGGCCGAAGCACAATGCCCAGCAGGCATCTGGCTTCTTGTACACCTTTAATAAAACAAGCTGTCAAATCACCTCCAGCTCCTGATTTCAAGATGGGATGAGGATGGGGGAAGCCAGGGTGCCCACCATGACCCTGTGGGCCAAATGGATGCTTCAGGCCAAGCTGGTCCCATGTGGAGTTCTGAGGGCAGACAGCTCCCCAGTCAGTGGCCCACCTGGGCATGGGTCCCAACCTTGCCTGTGGCTGTGAGGCGGGAATGGAGGGCCTGCCAGCCACAGCCGCCCCCATCAGGAAGAGGGTACCAGGGGCCAGTAGGACCCAAATAAGCCCGCCATTTACTGAGAACACAACCAGCACACTGGAGCTGGGCTGGCCATGTCAAGGTCACTTCCGGTGAGCACAGCCTGACCCAAGGGGCAGAGGCAGTGTGAGGTGGTAAGGGGCTGGCAGGTGTCAGCTCCCCAGGTCCCCACACCCACCTGGCCTGGCAGCAAAGCTCTGGGGTGGGTGACCAGGGCAAGCCTTTGAGGGTTTAGGCTGGGTCCCCCAGTATCCAGCTTCTAGTTTAAAGGGATTCTTGAAGGCTTAAACAGTACCTCCATTTCAGGGAAAGAGAAAGATCTATTTTTTAAAATTTGATTTCTTGAGACAGGGTCGAGATCCTCCTGCTTCAGCCTCCCCAGCGCTAGGATGTCAGGCGTGTGCCCTTATACCTGGCTGAGAAACATCTTTGATGTTCCAGAAACAAAGCCTGGTTTCCCAGGAGCTGAGTCTGGACAGGAAAGGACAGCAGGCTCTGGGCTTGGGGCTGTAGATGAAGTGGACATCCCCATACCTGCTCCTGGCAGAACGGAGCCAGGCTTGCATCACCCTGTGGGCCTGGCATTCACTCTCCTAACACCTGGGGCCTGGATCTGATTTGTTTAGGCAAGAGCCCTTTTCAAGATGCTCTGGCCAGCCCCCAGCTGCCCATGGAAAAGGTAGGGCCAGAGCTGTGAGGGCAGTAGCATGGCCCGAAGACCCCAGCTTGTCCCCTAACCAAGGTGACACTAAGTGCTGTGCAGCTGGCTGGGATGGGGGTGGGGTCTGTCTTGAAGCCAGTGGGGACGGTGACTGCAGCAGCCTAGGGCTGTGGTAATGACCAGCCTGGCCTGTGGCAGGATCCAAAGATCCTGAGTCACACAGTCAACAGTGCAGCCAGGCCTGGGACTCAGGTGGACAGAGGGGCGTGCACACCTCAGGCCAGGTGCTTCTTACCCTGAGTGGGGGCTGGAAGAGAAGGAGGCAGAGCTGCACCAGAGCCCCACTCAGATCAGAGCTCTTGTGGGCAGAGGAGGGAACAGAACCGCTCAGAGCCGCTGTGCCCAAACCCCACCTCCTGAACCTGCAGCTGGGCCCCGATGCAGTCCATGGAGCCTGCTGGGTGGGTACTGCTTGCCCGGTGTCAGAGAAGGACGTGATGACCCGGAGCTTCCAAGGTCAGAGGATGGGTGGGACGTCATCCTGGGGTGCATGGCTCTTGGGGAGCAGCTGAGGCGGGCAGCATGGAGTGCTGCCCCAGACCCACAGTCCCAGTCAGTCTGAGGTGGCCGAGGTCACCGGCAGCACAGTCTGTGTCACCTGGCCGACGTCCCGCTCCAGCTCCTCACTGGCTCGACACAGGTCCTCGCACCTCTGCCTCACCTGGTCCCTGGCCTGCTGCAGCCGATCATTGGTGGCCACATAGGCCCGGCCCTGCAGATAGAACCGCTCCCACTGGGCCTCAGGATCCTCGGTGTTCCTGGAGGGGACTGGAGGCTCTAGGAACAGAACATAGCAGCGTCATGGCCAAAACTACAGACTCTGGGTACCTGTGAGTCCCCCACACCATGGGCTAACACTTGGGGACTTGGGACTGACCATGGGAGGTATGGAGCCCCACTTCCTGGTGGGCCCCCCCCCCCCCACTAGTAGAAACCCTTGCTCCCGAGAAAGCACAGGGCCAAAGCCACAGGGCTGAAAAAGTGCAGTTTGGGGTCCCAAGGAGACACAACATGGTCCCTATTGAGCGGCCCTGAATCCAGTGCAGCCTGGGTGCACTAGTGCTCAGTTAAAAATCGCCTTTGTCACCACCACCTTCTTCAGAAAGGCAGTGGGAAAACTCAAGAACCCACAGGACCTGGGGGAGACACACCCTCTACTTGGCCTGGGGCACAGTGCTGCTCACCTCACTCACACCCCCAAACTCCAAAACTGGGGCTCAGGTACCCCAGGTCACCTAGCTCAGAGCCTATGCCTATGGAGCCTTGCTGTATGGCAGAATTTTCTGGGAGATGAAAACGTCCACCTGTGTGCTTACACACACCACATACACACGCATCAGCCACCAGCAGGGTTTTTTTTGTACTGGGCCTTCACACTCAGCTACCTCCCTAGCGCTTTTTAATTTTTGGGCCAATCTCAGCAGGGAGGAGGCTGAGGCAGGAGGATTGCCACTAATTTGAGGCCAGCCTAGGCTACATAGCTCAGTGGTTCCGCCGCCTGCCTCGCAAGCACAAGGACTCGAGTTCAATCCCCGGTACCAAAAAAAAAAAAAAAAGGACTCTAAATAATCAACTAACCAAACAAAAAGCCCCAGGTAGGGCATGGCTGCAGACTAACGTGTGAACCCATTTTAAAGGAACCTCAAGATGCCTTCACTTTACGAATGAGAAAAGGGAGGTTCATAGTGGACAGGGACTGTGCCCAGGCCCTCGGCTCAAATCTATGTTCCCAGTTCCACGATTTCCCCGGCCTTATGCTCCGGGGCTGGAGTTGGGGTGAGCGTTCCCTAAGCTACCTTCCGGGGCTAGTGCGGTGAAGACGGGGTCCTGGGCCGGCGCCCCCCGCACGTCCTCCAAGATCTGCTCCACCGTGGGGGGTGCGGGGCGGGTGGGCAGCACCACGCGCTTCTTGGTCTTGGAGCCCATCCCTGGGGACAGAGGAAGGGAGTAGGATGTCCACCTCTTGGTCTCTGCGGGGCCGATCTCCTGCCCAAACTCACAGATAGGCACTCCCCGCGGTCCCGCTCCCGGGGGTCCCGCCCTGACGCCCCACGAAGCGCTCCTCTGGGCTTACGCAGCGGGTGGCCTTCCCTTCGTCCAACAAGAAGATTCGGGTTTCAGAGTCCGGCTAAACGCCGGTCTCAGTTTCCCCTTGAAAACCTCTGCCGCAAATCGCTCCCCACAGGGACGGGGGCCTGGAGCCACGAACCGCGCCACCGCCACTTCCGCTTCCGGCGGAAGAGCCCAGGCACGTGACGTGCTCTTTCCGGCCTTCTGAGGGTCTCTCCGACCTCGAGACTCCGCCCCTCCTTAAAGGGGCCGCGACTGGACTAGAGGGATCTCAGCCCCTCCTCACCCCTTACACTCCTTCCCGTCCAGGGCCAGTAGACCTGGAACCTCAAGGGATGAGCATGAGTTCGAGCTCAAGTCTCTCTGGATGGGTAGCAAAGCATGTGAGGCTCGGGTTTTCGCAAAAGGGTGCTAAGGCGCCAACCCCATGTATTGAACAGCATCACTGCCTGTGGCTGGTGTGCCCAGTGGGTGTTCAGTGATCACCTCTGCTCTGATCACCAACGAGCTGGCCAGGGACGCAAGAGCCGTGTCACATCTTGCCTGCCAGACCTGGCTGAGGCCCCCACATTTCTAAAACTCTTCTCCATGTGGAGAGGGCAGTAGAGGGTCCCTTCCCTTGTCCTCTCCCTTGCTGTCATCCTATTACCTCCCTCCTGGTTGGGGTTGGGAAGACCAGAGGGTGCTTTTTGTGTTTTTAGACAGCCTTATTGAGATGTGATTTACATACTGTAAAGTTCAGCTATTTACAGTAATTCTGTGCTTTGTATTTGTGTGTATGTCAAAAGTTGTGCAAGCATCATTACTACCTAGTTCCAGACATTCAAAAAACAAGCCTTGTCCTCATGAGCAGTCACTTGTGTCACCATGAGCAGTCTCCCATCCCCTCCCAAGCCCTGGGCCCATGAGTCCACTTCTGGTCTCTGGGTCCCCTTGTCCTGGGCGTTTCCTGTCCATGGAGCCCACACTGTGTCCTTCTGTGTCTGGGGTCTCTCGCCGAGCACAGAGTCCTCAAGGTCCATCCATGCTGTAGCAAGTGTCACAGCCTTGCTCTTTTTCTGGCTGAGTAATATTCCAGCCCGGGATGACCTCCCTGTGTTTATCAACCCCCTGATGGATACGTGGGCTGTTTCCACCTTCTGGGCTGTTGTGAATTGGGTTGCTGGGAGCCCAAGTTTCAGTGTAGATGTGTTTTTGACCCTCCTGGCTGCACACCTAGAGGTGAAATCTCTGGGCTGGACACTGACTATGCAGTCAGTCCATGTGATGAGCTGCTGGCCCATTTCCACAGTAGCTGCCCCAAGACCCCTGATTAGGGTGCTGTGACCCTGGCAGTGGGGGGAGAGGGGGTGGAAAGAGGGCAGCAGTTCCAGAGTTGGACACAGAATCAGCAGCATGTGATCTCTCACAGTCACTCCAAATCCTGGGCTCTCTGGCCTGCAGCTGATTCTTGCTTTGTAGCCCTCCGAGTCCTCTAGGGCCTGACACCACCCCCTACACACCTCCTTGCAGGGGTGCCCAGGACCTGCCCTGTCCCGAAGGGGACAACAGGCTTGGCATCTTTTCAACCTTTATTTTCCAATTCTGAGGTTGAACATGGTGCCCAAGACTGGACAGAGTCTGGAGTAGGGAAGGGATGGGGTTCGTAATCCAGCCTCTGCCCATCCCACCCCCAACTGACCCCAACATGGGAAAGAGACTTTCTCCTTTGGAGCTGAGCATCCAGGCTCCAAGTTTCCAGCAGCTAGCCGGGCCTTCAGGACAGGTCCCAGTGGGGGGCATATTGGAACGGCAGTGTCCCCTCTACCCTGGGCCCAGGCCAAGGCAGCTTTTGATTCTCCAAGTCTCCAGGTTCCAGTGCACAGCTGGTCCTGGGGTGGTGGCAGATGAAGCAGGTTTTGGAAGGGGCTCCCCAAGGGCATGGGAGGCAGGCCCGGCACCTTGGCCAGGGCTGGGCATTGAGGCTGGGGTAAGGGGAGAGAGCTGGAGGTGACTGTGGGGCTGTCCTGAGCAGGAGCCCCGGAGCTCATCCATGCTGGGTGGGGGGCAGAAGCAGGCGGTGCCAGGGCTTGAAGAGCAGCAGGGAGCCGGGGGTGTGGTGGGGCAGCCAGGCCCCATGATCACTGCCTGCTGGGTGTGGCCTGAGTGCCTTCATCCGTAGCCGGAGAGGCAGAGGTGCCCCAGGATGCAGGTGGCGTTGTCACATTCTGGACAGGGGACGCGGAAGGGTGCAGAGGGAGGGCATGAGGCTGAAGCTTCACCCCAGGGCCTGCCCGCTGCCAGCCCTCCCGGGGCACACACACACACTGCCAGCCCTCCCACCACTACTGGCCACTCACCCTGGCACAGCCCCTCTGTGTCCCACCGCACACGCACTACCGGTCACCTGGGAGCCTGGGGGCTGGGCCATCACGTCCTCTGCTGTCCCGTAGAGCAGCAGTGTGCAGCGGTGCAGCATCCCTGGGCAGGGGTCATGGTGGGCATAGAGGAGGTGCTATTGGCAGCTGGGTTGCAAGAGGCCCTGGCCCCTTTTGCTAGGGAGCTTTCACCAGAGCCCCAGGTCACATGGTCCCAGGCCACCAACTGCCTACTGTGCACCTTTAGCTGGACTCAACTAGCTGCCCCAATACCTGCACACCTACTGTGTGCCAACCATGACTGCTGAAACGGTCTCTCCTCCCTGGGGTCCCTGTGGTTGAAGGGTAACAGAGGAGCCCCCCAACCTGGGCCCAGCCCTCACCTCTGCTGAAATAGTAGCTCTTGTTCCACAGGCCCGGGGCCCACAAGCCCTGGGGGTTCTCATCCCAGAAGTGGGTGGACATGAACGTCCAGTTGTTGTAGCCCTGGCTGCTGTTGTCCAGGGGCCTGGGGAGCAGGGGAGGGAGGGTAGGGGGCCTCATGAGCAAGCAGGGCCAGGGAGGCCCACAGAGCCACAGGGTGTATCTGGCCATGCTATCCCGGGCAGTCCCCAGGCCACACACCTGATGGCCACCAGTGTGGAGCGGGTGCCCATGGGGCTGGTGAGTGAGATCTCCAGGTCCTCGCGGTGGCTGTAGGACAGCGACAGCTGCACCTGCACATGCTCCAGTGCGCGGATGTAGTGGCGGCTGCCGCTGCAGGCCGATGCATTCTTCTCTACATGCATCTGGAGCAGGATGGGGCTGGGGGCGGTAAGGACCCTCCTGTTGGCTGGTAGGATCTGCATTCACCGGTTAGGGGTTATGCAGCCCACCCTCTCTTGACAGATGGGGAAACTGAGGCCAGGGGCCTGCCCCCCCTGGGGCCCCCACCCCTGGTGGTGATGATGGGGGGGGCAGGGCCCCCTTACAGCGGGGCCATCACGACCTCCACGGTGCATTTCCTCTGGGGCTGCGTGGGCAGCCAGATGTGGGCCAGGTCCACCAGCAGCGCGGCGTCCAGCAGCCCATAGCCATAGTGGTGGCTCACTGCGTGGAGGGGTGATTGTCAAGTGCCCTGCAGACCCAGTGCCCCCATCCCCTGCCTGGCCCCACGGCACCTTGGCGTCCCACACCATTTGTCCTCCAATCCTCAGCCTGCAAGTGCGCCGGCTTCGAGGCACGGACCATGAGGTGCTGTGTGTCCCTCCAGGTTAGGAGCAGGCTGGGGGCAGTGCACGACAGCCATGAGCATGAGCCCGAGCCCAACGGAGGTGTGGCCTGAGGGCAAGGCTCGCGCGCCCACTGGCACCTACTTGGCTTCCAGGGCCAGGGCCATCATGCCTCCAGCCAGTGGCGCCGAGGCTGAGGTGCCTGTGTGGTTGTCTGTGCACTGGTGGTGAAGGTCTGTGGTGACCTGGGGACAGAGGGATGGGGCTGGGGTGCACAGTGAAATGCAGCCCTTATTCAACAAGTGCTGGGCTGGGGATTTAGCTCAGTGGTTCCACCGCCTGCCCTGCAAGCGCAAGGACCCGAGTTTGATCTCCAGTACCAAAAAATAAATAAATAAATAAATAAAACAAGTGCCATGGACTGAGCTTGAAAAGTACTGTGGATTGAGTTCAAAAAGTATTAAGGAGGGCCGGGGATTTAGCTCAGTGGTTTCACCACCTGTTGTGCAAGCTCAAGGACCCGAGTTCGATCCCCGGTACCAGAAAAAAAAAAGAAGTACTAAGGAGCCAGGCATAGTGGCACATGCCTATAATCCCATCACTTGGGAGGCTGAGGCAGGAGGATTACTGGAACTTCCAGGCCAGCCTGGGCTACATAATGAGTTCAGGGTCACAACTACACAGTGAGACCTTGTCTCAAAAAAGCAAAAACAAAAAGTAAAAGGACTAAGAACTGAGCTCAAAAAGTACTACAGACTGAGTTCAAGCAGTATACCAAAGACTAAGTTCGAAGGGACAGGGATATAGCTTAGTGGTGCTGCACCTGCCTGGCAAGTCCAAAGTCCAGAGTTTGATCCCTGGTACCAGAAAAACAAAACAAAACAAAAAAGACTAAGTTTAAAAAGTACAAAGGAAGCCAGATGTGGTGCTGCACACTGTAATCTCAGCACTTGGCAGGCTGAGGCAGGAGGATCACCATGAGTTTGAGGCCAGCCTGGATACATAGCAAGACCCTGTCTCAAGAAACAAACCAAACCAAACCAAACCAATCTAAGGGGGCTGGGGATTTAGCTCAGTGGTTCTGGTGCCTGCCTTGCAAGCACAGGGTCCTGAGTTTGATCTCCAGTACCAAAATAAAAAAAAGTACCAAGGATTAAGTTTAAAAAATACACTGGTACCTTGGTTCACGAACTTAATTCTTTCCACGATTCTGGTCACAAGTCAAATTGAATGAGAACTGAATTAAATTAAATGGTTAGGTTCTATGTTGATCTTGTGGGGAAATTTGATTCTGTTCTTGACCAATTCAGTCTTCAACCAGAATTGTGGAAAGAATGAAATTTGTGAACCAAAGTGCCATTGTACTACAAACTGAGTCCAAAAAAGTACCAAGGACTAAGCTCAGAAAGTATTACAAGCTGGGCATGGCGGTACATGTCTGTAATCGAAGTACTATGGAAGGCTGAGGTAGGAGGATCCCAAGTTTGAGCCCAGCCTAGGAATTTAGCTATTTAGAGACCCTGTTTTAAAATTTAAAAAAAAGGGCCAGGGATTTAGCTCAGTGGTTCCGCCGCCTGCCTCACAAGCACAAGGACTCGAGTTCGATCCCCAGTACCAAAAAATAAAAAATAAAAGTGTGTGCGAAGGTCCTGGGTTCCATCTCCTGCAACAAACACAAGTGGGAGGGAAACATGGTGGGGACGGGCGGCAGCCCTGACCAGGCAGGCGGCACTCACAATCTGTGGGTCGGTGGCCAAGCCACTGCCGAAGGTGGTGGTGAGGATGGAGGCTCAGGCCTCGCTGTACCAGGGCACGCGGCCCTGCCGGGTGGCGCCGCCCACTGAGAGTGTGTGGATGCTGCTGGTGTAGGCGTCGCAGTTGCAGTTCTCATAGCGCAGACAAAGAGTGTGCCCAGCCTGCCTCGGCCCTGGGACGAGGAGGCCCAGGAGGAGGCCTCACACCGGCTGCTGCCCAGCCTGGCCAAGCTGTGCCCCCCGGAGCCCTGTGGGTGCTCACCTGGGTCACGCCGTGCAGGAAGGCCTCGTGGCTAAGGATGCCTGGGCCGTCCACTCTGCGGCCGTTGTCCTCAGGGCCCCAGCTGGCACTGTAGACGTGAATGTGCTGGGGCTGCAGGCTCAGCGACTGGGCCTCGAGGATGTCGGCGATGGTGCCGTCCAGCATGCGCACACCTGCATGGGGGCGTTGGCCTCCCTTGGGCACCAGCCCGCGTGGCCCTCTCTCCCAGGGCCCTGTCTGAGGTCCTGGCACCGCCCAGCAAGGAGGGGGAGGACGCCAGCGCCTTCCTCCCCTCACTTGCCCCCCTGCCCCAACTGCTGCAGCGGCACCCTCTACCCTCTGTCCCCAGGCTGTGTCCCCCAGGGACCCTGGTACCTCCAATTCGGGCATTGAAGGCAACTCCTGCACTGCAGAAGCCGTTGTTGGCCATGGCTGCCACCCCCCCAGCACAGCGAGTCCCATGCCTGGTGCCAGGGCCAAGGGGGGGTGCCCGTCACAGCCTGATCCCCATGGGTCACTAGGAACCCCCTTGCACCCCACGGGCTAGGGCTCACCGGTTCTCATTGCTGGGCGTGTAGCGAGGCTGGGGGTCTGGGTCATAGTCGTTGAAATCATAGCTGGCCAGGGGGTCCTGGGGACCGGTGGGGATGAGAACAGGGTATAAGGCATCCCTGGGTGGGGGGACTTGGGACAGCCCCTGTCCCAGCTGCCTGAGGCCTCATGTAATTGGCCCAGAGGTCTGGGTGGTCCTTCTCAATGCCGCCGTCGAGGATGGAGATCACGACACCCTGGCCCATCAGGCCCTGGGCCCAGGACCGCAGGATGTTCAGGTCTGGCTGCATCTCATTTTTCTGTGCCAGGCAGGGGATGGGGTCAATGGGGTTGTGGTGGCCGCTGTGTATTTGCCTGCCCTAGCCTGGCCGCTCACCACGTACCAGGGGTCCATGGGCACCTCCAGGGACCGCTTCACCCGCCGCTGCACTGTCTGCTGCTCAAACCGTGGCACCTGGAGGGGACACATGGCTGGACTATCCCTCAGGTAGGGGCGAGGAGTGTTTGCTGTGGCTTTTTAATTTTTTTTTTTTGTACCAGGGATCAAACTCGGGACCTTGTGCTTGTGAGGCAGGCAACGGAACCACTGAGCTAAATCCCAGGCCCTTAAATTTTTTTTTGAAACAGGGTCTCACTATGGAGCCCAGGCTGGCCTTGAACTCACAGCGATCCTCCTGCCTCAGTCTCTGGAGTGCTGGGATTACAGATGTGCACCACCACACCCAGCATAGGGCTGCTCTTTAGGGTCCCCCCATAACTGGGGCTCTGTCTTCAGTGGGGGCCCCCCAGCATCCCAGTGTATCCATCCTCAGGCCCAAGACACATGGACAGAGTCAGGGGTGTCAGCTTCCTCTGTCCCAGCACTGCTCCCTCTCCCTCCCTGCTCCACATTCTTCTGTCTAACCCTGCCGGCTCCCTCCTGCATCGACTCCCGAATCAGCCACTTCTTCCTCCCCTTCCCCATCCAAGGGTCACACCCACCTCCTCCCTGGCTTTCCATCCTCCAGTCCACAGCCCACAAGGCCCTGAATGTGCATCTCCCACTAGCTTTCTTACTGGTTACTTAACTACAGCTGTGACCACTTTGACATTTCAAGGGCACCTGAACTCACCTCCACCCCAGGACCTTTGCACATGCTGTTCTGCCAGCCTGGACTGCTCTTTCTTGGACATTTGCCCTGCTTCCTTTTTTTTTTTTTTGGATCGAACTTGGGACTTTGTGCCTGTGAGGCAGGCGGCAGAACCACTGAGCTAAATCCCCAGCCTCCTGCTTCCTCTTTACCGCCTTCATCTCCCATCCCCAACTAGTTCATATCTTCCACCCCATGTAAGGATCCTGGCAGTCTCCTGGGTGCCAACCTGGCCCTGATACCTATCTCTTTGTCCCCCACATCTGATCTGTCCTGCGCACCCTGAACCAGCCACCCTTCTAGGTCCCCAGCTCTGAGCATTGAGAGCCTGGGTCCTTGACCCAGTTCTGCCAGACTCACTGGGCGTCGTTTTTTTTTTTTTTTTGGTACTGGGGATTGAACTTGGGTCCTTAGCTTGAGAGGCAGGTGGCGGAACCACTGAGCTAAATCCCCAGCCCTTGGTGTCTTAACACTCCTCCTCTGAGGGACCATTTTCCTGTGTGGTGAAATGGGCCAGCGCCTCTCCTGGATCCTATGAGCTGGAGGGCAGGGAGTGGTTGTGGTGTTCCCTGTCCCCTGACCTCAGTTTCAGGGGCCTTCATCTTTCCAGGAAGACATAAGTGCCAGGCTCACACATGCCTTCCCCGTCTGGCCCCCACTGAGGGGACCAGGTGGAACCCAGATCTCAAAGAGAGACCATTTATGGCAGTTGCAAGAATAAGAGAAGGCAGCATGATGGCCCAGGCACCAGCCGAGACCCCGAGGGGCAGCCTCCCGGCTAGGCTCACCTTTGGGTCTTTCTTCAGACGCAGGCGGTGGCCCCAGTGAGGGCTCAGGGACTGCTGGGCCACACCCCTGTGCCGCAGGTGGAAGTACTGGCCATCAGGGAAGATCTGGAAAGGAGGGGAGCAGCCACCTCGCTGGGACCAGCTTCCCCGGTGGCGCCCTCCCCCCCGGGTGGGACCAGTGTCCCCTGGCTTGAACCCTCCTCCAACCAGGTTCCCAGGCAGGGGCTTCAGGCGCACCCCGGGAGTCATAGACCCTCAGTTTCTTCACAGTGAGCTACATCCCAGGGCTCTTTTATTTTTTATTTTGAGATGGGGTCTCGCTAAATCCTTAAGTTGCCCAGGCTAGGCTGGAACTTGGCATCCTCCTGCCTCATCCTCCCAGAGTGCTGGGATGGTAGGCATGCACCACCACGCCCAGCTGGGCTTGGGTTCTTGATATTTAGGAAGTCACTGGGGACCCTGTCCTATATATCAGGGTCAGGGGTCATCTGTCCCTTCGCTTTCCCTCATCCATCCGAGTGCCACCTACCTGCCCCAGATTGACGAAGCCAAATTTGCGTGCCAGGCGCTCGGCTTCCCGGTTACCCTGGGTCACCTGCACTGCCCAGCTGCTGACATAGATGGGGACCCGGGCCGACTTCCACCCCACAGCCAGGGGGCGGACGAGGACCAAGCTCGGAGTCAAGACCCGGATCCGTCAGAGTGCAGTTGGGGTGAGCCGCAGCGCGGCGGGGGCGGGATCGGGGCGGGGCCTGTGGGAGCCCCTCCCTCCAGCCAAACCGCCGAGTCGGGCCGGCACCGTAGCAACCTCGAGGGCTTCAACTCCCTGGGGCTTGCGGTTCCTTTTCTCTCCACGAGGGGCGGAAAGACCCAACAGAAGTCGTGGGGGGAACACATGGTCACAGACCTAAGCCCTCTGGAACCCCAATCTCCCCATTTGTACAAAGATCCAAATCTGGCTCAGAAGAGCAAGTTCACTGTAGCATTAAAGAACCCTGCCACCCTTTATTTGGCCCTGCCCACTTTTACACACCCTTCCTTCCAGAATCAGCTCCTCTTATTCTGTTCTAACCAGAATTGTTTTCGGGTAAGTCCCGCCCCCTCTGTTTCGCCACGCCTCCTGGCCGATCAGCCCCGCCCCTCTTCTTTTCTGTCCTCTTCGCTTCTCCAATCATCTCTGGCTTTTCTGGGTAGGGGTGGGGTGGTGGGGGTGGAGGAGGGGACTGGGAGAACACTGGGTCTGCCTTTCCCAGCACTCCTCTCCCCTCTGCCCCGCTCTACAGGGGAGCTAACAATGACCGGCCTTGACGCCGTCCCTCAGATCAGCCACGTCCCACTCCCTCTCGGCCAATAGAAGCTCTCGGCAGCCGCGCCCCGCCCCCTCCTCGCCGCTTCCCTGCCTTGGCGACAGTGGGCCGCCGGAGGGCAATGCGGCGAGGGAGACGGGGCAGGTCCCACCTCCTTTGCCCGCCCAGCCCGCCCATTGACCATAGCGGGGGCCCGGAGGCGGAGCCCAAATCGGGGGCGGAGCCCGGCGGTCAGGGGCCGGAGCAGGGCCGCCAGCAGAACGGCAAGAGAGTTCGCGCGCGGCGGGACCGGTGCGCGGGGCAGCAGGCGAGCTCGAGCTGCCAGTCACGGGGCGGGCGAGGCCATGGACAGGTTGCGCCGGCTCTTCGAGCACTTTCTGGAACAGAGGAACTTTGCCACCGAAGCGCTCGAAGCGCTCGAAGCCAGGACCGGTGTCGAGAAGCGGTATCTGGCCGCGGGTGAGCCGTCGGGACGCTCGCCCCATTGCACCTACGGGCTCGCCGAGGCCCGGGCACTGAGGTCGTAGACCGGGCGCTTCTCCCGGGACCGGCTGCAGGAGTCCGGACCGGGCGAGGCGCGCGCCCCATTGTCTGCCAAGACGCCCTGATCTGGGGAGGGTTCCCGGACCCGGACCTTTGGTGGCCCGCAGCCCCTGTCCTGCGCTCACCGTGCCACCTCGAGCGAGGGCCACCCCCGCCTGTAGCCTTGGTCCCTGCCATCCCCTGTCCTCTCCCTTGGCACCCTGGGTGCCAGCCAGGACTAAGTCTGGTCCTTCCAGTTGTCCAGCAGGTCCCAGGGGACAGGGGACAATCCAGGTGCCAGAGTGTCCCCTGGAGCCCTTCCCGCGTAGACCCCAGCCTGGAGCGAGGGAAGCCTGGTCCCGAAGGGGACCCTTCTGCCTGCCGCCTGCTCCCTTCCCCCAGCTCGGTGGCTTTGCACCATTGTGGGTCAATATTTGTTGAGTTGAGCTGTTTGACATCTGTGATGGGACCCGAGGAGGGCCTCATTGTCATTCCATTTTGGTTCTTTTCCTCCTTGGTAACAGAAGCACATGAGCGGCCCTGCTTGGTTCCGAAACTCTCTGGGTAGCATAGCATTGGCCTTCCTCCAATCCCGGCCTGATTTGTGCAGTATTGAGGCCCCTGCCTTTCCAGGAAGTCCCTTCCCATAAATAAATCGCAAGGGGCCACATGGGAGGGCGCAGGGTCTGCGAGTAGGGCCCTGCCAGGTGCCTTGAATGCTTGTGGCTGGTTTCTGGTTGTCCACATTCGCCCCATTTCCCTGCCAGCTGGAGGATTCCCACACCAGCCAGCCAAGGACCACCTGAAGTCTGTGCCCAAATTCCCACAGGTCCCAGACTGTGCCTGCCCGGCCTCAGGCCCTGACCTTTGACCTGGCTTTCCACATGGCTGGGACCTGTGGGTGGGGAATTTGGGTCACAGAGCAGCAGGAGGAAGGTGGTGGCAGGGAGGTGCCAGCTGGGGAGGGAGCGGGCACAGAGAGGCAGGGGCCTGGTGGGGAGCTGCCTCCGTGTCTGAAGTCCCCCCCCCCATCCCCTCCCCGTGTCCCATCTGTTGCTGATGTCTGCAGACTGTGGCTCCTCACGTCCAAGGTCATCCACCCTCTGCTGAGGCTGCAGGTTTGAAAGGGATTTAGGGAAGGGTGCCCTGGAAGAGCCCTTCCTCCTCCACTAGCACTTCCAGCGAAGGGGGTCCCCCACCCTCACCCTCCTTTCCCTGATACAAGGAGCCTTCGGCCACACCACCAAAGCCTGTGCCCCTCAGGGAACAGAGGATGAAACTCGGAGAAGGCAGTGCTGGAGGTGACAGGGCCTCCTGGGCTGTTCCCCCCCTGACAGAAGGGTGGGGGTGGCCAGGTTCTGCCCTTTAGTCCAGAAGTGGCTTCCAAATCTCCCTGCAGATAACAGTCTCTGGGGAGCAGGCAGGAGGCTGTCCAAGGTCTCCGGAGCTCAAAGGTTTCCCCCGAGACCTTGCAGGACCCACAGCCGCCACCCCGGCCTCTGTGGTGTTCACTGTTGAATGAGATGGGGGGAAGGTTGAGCCACACACACCACAAGTGCTTAATCAGGATGGGGGCTGAGCTCCTGCCCCCCCTTTTTTCTGAACCTACATTGCCTGGTATGTTTTAGTGGTCAGATGTTCAACACACGTGGAATAGGTTCTCTAACTCACAGCAACCCTAGCATGCTGGGGACGTTTACAGATGGGGAAACTGAGGCTTCATGCAGGAAGTCTTGCTCAATTCAGCAGTGAGCAAGAGCAAGTGGCCCTCCTAGCTCTAGGGGACCCGGATGCTGGGCTTTGCTGCCTCCCTTTAAGACAGAGGCTCTCAAAGTGGGCAACACTACACTCCCATATTTGATGATGTTTGGGGACTTTTTTTCCCAGTATGGGGGAGTGAGCCCAGGTCCTTTGCCCTGAGCTACTCTGCCAGCCCTTTTTCTTTTCTTTTCTTTTCCTTTTTCTTTTCTATATTTTGAGACAGGCTCTCACTAAGTTGCCCAGGGTGGGTTTGAACTTGAGATCCTCCTGCCTCAGCCTCCCAGAGTGCTGGGACGACAGGTGTGTGTCACCACACCCCACTGTCTGGGACAATTGTGGTTGTCACAACTGAGGGTTCTCCTGGCACAGAATGGGTGGAAGTCAGGGACACTGCAGTACAAAGGACTCCCCCCAATAAGATGAATTGGCCTCAAATGTTAGCAGTGCTAAGGGGAGAGACCCAATAAATACTCTGTTGCCTTCCCCAGCTCACCAGGAATCAAAAAGTAATGATTCATAGCCTCACTTTTACTTTTTTTTTTTTTTGTACTGGGGATCGAACTCGGGTCCTTGGGCTTGTGCAGCAGGCAGCGAAACCACTGAGCTAAATCCCCAGCCCATTTTTACATTTTTTTCTGCATCATTTGGATTCAAATGCTGGCCTCTTTTTTTGAGGCCCCTATAGGTCCTGGAACAAGATTCATAATTGCAGATTATCACTTATTCATTCAACAAACATTTATTATGCAGCTCCTTTGTATCTACCCCACCCCTGAGCCCTGGCCTCCACCCAAGGTCCTCGCCTGCCCCCGGAGGAGCTCACAGCCCCATGTGGGAGACAAATGCCTGGGGCCTCATAGTGGGGCTGGGGGCCAGGTGCGTTCCTGCTCTGGAGGTGTCATCAAGGCTCCAGGAAGGAGGTGAAGGTTGCAGACTGCATCACCAGGGTGCCCAGGCCCCCATGGAGTACCCCTTTCTCCCGCAGGAGCTGTCACTGTGCTAAGCCTGTATCTTCTCTTTGGCCACGGGGCATCTCTACTCTGCAATCTTATCGGATTTGTGTACCCCGCCTATGCTTCGTGAGTGCCCTGCCCAGCTGCCCTGGCCGGGGGTCTCCCGGGGCCCAGGCAGCCCCTGAACCCGCTGTGCCCCCCTGCAGAATCAAAGCTATCGAGAGTCCAAGCAAAGAAGACGACACTGTGTGGCTGACCTACTGGGTGGTGTACGCCCTGTTCGGGCTGGCAGAGTTCTTCAGCGATCTTCTGCTGTTCTGGTTCCCTTTCTACTACGTGGGCAAGGTGGGCAGGGACCTGGGGGCCCGGCAGCAGCTGGTCGCCCACTGTGGGGACTGGGGGAGACCAGGGGGCTGGGCAGAGACGGGCACACAGTGTGACCCCGCGCTGCCCTGCAGTGCGCCTTCCTGTTGTTCTGCATGAGCCCCGGGCCCTGGAACGGGGCACTGCTGCTGTACCAGCGGCTCGTGCGTCCGCTCTTCCTAAAGCACCACGCGGCTGTGGACAGCGCCGTGAGCCAGCTCAGCGGCCAGGTCCTGGACACGGCGTCCGGAATAACAAGGGATGGTGCGTGCTGGAGGGTGCCCGGCTGTGTCTGTCTCCTGGGTCTCGGCTTGACCGTCTATCTGTGGGCCCCAGCCTGTCCGTCTGTCCCGACTCCCCTCCTGACTGACTCCTCTCTCTCTGGCACTGTGGCCGCCCCTCTGTGCTCTGTGCTCCCCCTCATCCCCCCTCTCACTGTCTCCTCTCTTCCCCATGCTCTCGGGACCCAGTGCTACGGGCCCTGGCCCTCGGCCGGGCATTCGTAACCCCGGCAGTGGTGGCGGAAGCCCCCATGGCCCTGGAAGGCGACTGTACGTAACACTTAATGCCCAGGAGGTTGGGGCTGGGTGCAGGCGTGTGTGTGAGCCCGAGTGTGAATGTTCACGGCATGTGGATGTGTATGCATGGTGTCCCATGTGCTTGTGTGCTGACTGTGTGATGTGTGCTCTGCAGTGTGAGTGTACATGTGTGCGTGTGTATATTGTGAGAGCATTGTATACATGAGTGTGTGTGTACACATGTGTGTGATCGCATTGCACATGTTGGAGTGTATGCATGTATGCGAGGCTGTGCTTGTGTATGAGCTTGCATGTGCAGATGTGTGCGCACACATGTGTGCAATGTCTGTGCCTGTGTGCTGGAGTGCCATGGATGCCCTATGAGTGTACACGTGTGCAGGTGTGCACGCGTCGGGATGTGGATGTGTGGGTGTGTGCATGCGTGTGTATTCATACACACAGTCGTCCCTGCCACGAGTGGCCCCCTCACCTCTCCTGCTGACCCACACTTGGCACCACTGGCCTGAATCCCGTTTCCCAACTGCTGGGGGTCCCACAGCCTGTCCAGCGCCCACCCCCCTCACCCCGTCACCCCCCTCTCTCCACAGCCCTGCCAAACCCGAGCCCTCTGCAGAAGGGCAAGTGAAGCTGCCCTCCCGCTCTGGCATGGACATTCCAGCTGGTGAGAAGGGCCACACCGCAGGCCCCCAGCTGTCCATGGAGGCCCCTCCCAACTCCCTGATGACAGAAACCCAGCCCAGCTGCTCCAGCCTGGGCAAGCCCCCTTCCCGTGTCACCTCAGGCCACCCCCAGTCTCTGGGTGGGCCAGGCTCGGGGCCCCGGGGCCAGCTGGCTTCCCACTCTGCCACTGGCTCCCAGCTGCCCAAGAAGGCCCAGGGCCCAGCTCAGGGGCCAAGTAACCATTCCAGCCAGGCTCCCAAACGCCCTGGGGTCTCCGATCCTCCCTCAGGGCCCTCACCCCCAGCCACCTCCAACCTGAAGCCTGCACTCAGCCAGTCTCCCAGCAGTGCTCCCAGCCTGCCCCAACCCCTGAGCGAGCCCCAAATCCAGGCCTCTGAGACCAGCAAACAGCCCCAGGACAAGGGGCCTACCCAGCCGGCAGTCAGCTCCATGGAGTCTGAGCTGAGTGGCCCCAGCTTCTCAGAGTCCTCCCAGGACTCCACGTCCGAGTCCACCGCAGAGCTCACCTGGTGTTGGCTGTGCTACAGACCCCACCTTCGGTGCCCAAGGCACTGCTGGCTGCTGGAGCACTTGGCCTACTAGCGCCCCTCATCTGGCTCACCAGGCCCCCTGAAACACTGGGCCTGTTGGGTGTGCAATAAAGTAACTCCCCAGACCTGTTTATCATCTGTGTTGGGGGCGGGCAGGGGCTCCAACCCTACATGCTGGTGATGCAGGCTGGCTCCATTTTACAGAGGAGGAACCTGCGGCCCAGGGAGGCAGATTGGCCCATTCCGGGTCTCACAGGGACCCCACACAAATGCAAACCAGGAAATCTCTGTCCTTATCCAAGTGGCTTTCGCCCTCCTGTACTGGACCTGTGGTTAGACACATTCTGTGAACCCCTGTTCACTGAGCAACACCTCAGCCCTTGTTTTTATTTTTTATTTTTGGTACTGGGGATCGAACTTGGGACCTTACACTTATGAGGCAGGTGGCAGAACCACTGAGCTAAATCCCTACCCCTTGTTTTTATTTTTAAATTTTGAAATGTGGTCTTAAGTTGCTCAGGCTGGGCTCAAATATGTAATCCTCCTGCCTCAGCCTTCCAGAGTGCTGGGATGACAGGCGTGTGTCATCACATTCGGCTTGAACCCCTTTCTTTTAAAAACTCTTCCAGAGAAGGGAAATGAGGTCACTGACCCGCCTAGAAGCTGGTACAGAAAGAATTGGATCACTAGTGGTTGATTTGGGAGGGACCCCAGAAAACCCTGGCAGGGTTTGGGGGTCTAAAGTGGGAAGAGCAGGATGCCACGGGAGGCGGTCATGACCAGCCACATACCTAACTAAGGCTTCTCCCTGCCGCCTGTCAGGGGCGTGGCCTCTGCTGGGTGGAGCTTAATTCGGGCCACACCCCGTTGTGCCGGGTCTGGAGCGGGACGGCCTGCAGCCAAGCACAGGAGGCTGGCAAGTCCCCGCAGCATTCCTGGAAATTGCAACGCTATCAGCAGTCACTGGGGGGATCCGATGCATGCTGTGATTTTGTTTTGTTTTGAGGCCGGTATGACGCTGATTACAAAAACTGGCCAAGACAACAAGAAAGGCGAGAAGCCTATTTCGTGGATATAGATGCAACAAATCTAAGCACAGGGCCCGGGATTTATCTCAGTGGTGCCGCTTGCCTTGCAGGCGCAAGGTCCTGAGTTCGATCCCCGGTACAAAAAAAAAAAAAAAAATTAGCACAAAACAACAAATTAAATCTAATATTGTATTATAAAATAGAGTGGCCCCTGTCCAGGTCAGGTTGGCTGCAGTGGGGGGCCACTGTGTGTCAGTGTGTGGTACTGGGAATTGAACCAAGGGCACGAGGGCCTTTTTTGTTTTGTGAGACAGGGTCTCACTATGTAGTTCAGGCTACTGCCTTTGAACTCACTATGTAGCCCAGGCTGGTCTCAAACTCTCACCAATCCTCCTCCCTCAGCCTCCCAAGTGCTAAGATGACAGGTATGTGCTACCACACCCTGCCACCTCGGCCCTTTTCAAAGTATATTTTTATTTTGAGACAAGGTCTTGCTAAGATACTCAGGCTGCCCTCAAACTTGAGTTCCTCCTGCTTCAGACTCCTCCTGAGCAGCTGGGATTACAGGACTGGCCACAGCACCCAGCTGGGGAGGTGCAGGTTGAGATGATAAATATATAACAGGTCAGAGGTAGATAAACAGGAATATGCAGGGGAGAAGGAAGTCTGCTGGGAGATGGGGTCTGGGTCTGCAGTCAGGAACTCACAGTTCAAAGGCCCTGGGGCAGGAAAGAGTCTGGTGAATTGGGAGAGCACTAGGAGGCTCCTGTGGCTGGGGCAGAGGGACTAGGGGCAGAGAGAGAGGTGGGAGTCCTGGGGGTGGACCCATGGGTGCTTGGAGAACATGAGGAGGACTTTGGCTTTACCCAGGAAGTAGGCTTTATCAGAATAAGTGAACAACTTGTGAGTAATCATTAATGAGCCTCGCCCTGTGGTCCCTGCATTCTGCGGCTGTGTTGCTCATCTGCCCAGCAGGTCTGAAGAATGAGGTTTCCACCATGGCCCCTGGGAGGGGATGTGGGGGAGGCTCGGTTTGCACCCCTCACCTTTTCCTTAAGGGTGGCATACACCTGTGATTCCAGCTGCTCAAGAGGCTGAGGCAGGAGGATCACAAGTTTGAGGCCAGCCCGGCCAACATAGAAAGATCCTGTCTCAAAATAAAAAAGGGGTGAGGGTACAGCTCAGGGGTGAGTGCTTGGCTAGCATCAGGCCCTGGCTCCATGCTCAGTATCCACCCCTATGTAAATGGGCTCCAGCTCAACCCCTTAGCAGACAGCCTGCAGCCTGGCCAGGCAAACCCACACCTGGAACCCTTGCAGGGGTGTGTAGGAGCCCCGCCCCCATCTTATCAGGCAGAGATGTGGCCTTTTTTTTCTTTTTGGTGGAGTACTTGGAATTGAACCCAGGGGCTTCACTCTGAGGTCCATTCCCAGCCCTATTTATTTTTTATTTTGAGACTGGGTCTTGCTAAGTTGCCCAGGTTGGTCTCCAACTTGAGATCCTCCTGTCTCAGCCTCCCAGAACCCTGGGTGGACAGTTGTGGACCGCCATGACTGGGTTCAAACTTTTTCCCAGCACATGTGCCAGCGTTAGCACCCTCTGTCTCTCTCTGAGTGAGCGGCCTGCTGCCCCCACTGTAACCCACAGCCATGAGGCTGAGTCTATGGCCAGGCAGAAGCTGCTTGGGCATAGAGCCTCCCCAGACCAGCAGCCTGGGGCTTAGGTGGAGATCATGGTTTAGGGTCAGTCCCATGCAGGTAACAGGACATGTGCTGTCTTTAGAGAATTAATAAAAGTAATAATAAAAGTTTCCAAATCTTATGTGCTTGTCATTGTCATCAGCAACTGGAATTCACCAATGCTGATAATAAAATACTTCTCCCTAGGTCAAGCATGTTGGCACACACCTGTCATCCCAGCTACTTGGGAGGCTGAGGCAGGAGGATCCCAAGTTTGAGCCCAACTTGGGCCACATAGTGACTTAGTGAGACCTTGTCAGAAAATAAAAGCTAAAAAATGGCTGGGGTGCAGTCCAGTGGTGAGCACTTCCCTAGTATGTGGGTGGCCCTGGGTTCCATCCCCAGCACCAAAAACAAAAACAAAAACAAAAAAAACCCAATTCCTAGAGCAATGATGTTTTTACCAATGTTAGGTGAGCAGCACGAGGGCTGTGCAGTTTGGAAGTGAAGTTGAGTGATCCCTGTCCGTGTGGCCTGGGGACATCTGCCCCTGCACTCCTGGTGTGGGGATGGCTTTGTCACGGGTCCCACGCCCCATCCCGTCGCGGGCATCAGGCCATCACGCAGGGGCCAAGCCAGACTGGGCCCAGTGCATGTCTCTCCAAGTGTCGTGTGGAGTCTCCTGGGCAGGTGTCACATCCCCTGCAGCCAGAGCAGGGCACAGGGCACAGCCCTGGGGAGCAGAAGGGGAGAGAGAGACAGCAATGACAGCCCAGGGAGGCCTGACAGGGGGCCTTGATGTTGGCCCCGGTATAAGGGACGGTTTTTGAAGGGGATGGACGCTCACGGGAAAGGGGCGCACCAGCCACGCCGGCGCATCGAATCCTTTCACCCCCAGGGGGCGCCCAAGCAGTGCACATCTGCCCAGAACTCCGCTGCACCTTCCTGGCAGTGTCTGGGTCCTGGGCTGTCACCTTGCGGCCAGGGTCCCAGAGGACCATCACAGAAGGTAAGGAAGGGACCATCGCCCCCGCCCCGGGCCAGGACTGCCTGTGTCGTTCCTAGTAACCAAGGCAAAGGGAGAAATCCATAGGCTATAGTGCCTGGCTATGCATGTCTTCGAAGGGTCATGCCTGTTGGTGAGTGTCTCTGAATGAATACACGAGGGTGGGTTTCGAGCGGCAGAGAAAATTGAGCATGAGCACAGAGTGTCAGGGAGTTAAATGGAGAGAAGCTTCCTGGTACCCAGGGAAAGAGGGGAAATGGATACATTATAATATCTTGTCAGGCATATTTCCCCCTGGGACATGCTTGTTTGTGACAGTATCTCTAAACAAGTGAATGTGATGTGAGATGAATGAAAGCAGATAAAAAATTTCTGAGTGTAAAACAACTATGCGCTTCCTGGCAGCCAAGTTGAGAGGGGAAATAAGAGTCAGAGTCTGCTCAGTCTGTGTGTCCTCTGCAGTGCCTGCCTGCTCGTGACAGTGGATCCAACTGTATGCAGAGGTGTCCGTGTGCAACAGGGAATCACATAGTTGCAAGTGGGAGATACTGCTGAGCTCCCAGGACACCAGGGTGAAAGAAGAGATACACTGAATTTGAAGGCTGCCTCTAGGGACTCAGCCAGGACAGCGCCTGGCGGTCAGACGTGCCCGGCTGTCCTCTGCAGGGCTCCAGGGCCGGGCATAGCCAGCGTGGGGCAGCAGCAGCCGGTCCTGTGTGCCATCGGGGCTGACGAGGCGTCGGACAGCTAGCAGGTACTCCCGATGGGGAGCCAGCGGTGGGCAGGGGCAGGGGCCAGGTGCCCACACATACTCTCGAGTCCGCAGTGGAGAGTGGTTCTTATAAATGAGCAGAATTCGCACCTCATAGCGGGTCTCCTGGGCCTGGCGGTGGCTGCCCAGCACTCGGGCCTGGAACACTGCAGGTGGGACAGGCACTGAGGTTGCTGGAGACCCTACCCTGGGTGCCTGTCCACACTGGCCATTGCCAGAAGAGGAAAACGAGGGGGAGGCAGGACCTCAGAAGGTTCTGGGAGTGCGGTAATGCACACCTGTCATCCCAGCACTTGGAGGCTGAGGCAGGCGGATCACTGCCAGTTTGAGGTCAGTCTGCGATACATAGTGAGTTCAAGGCAGCATGAACTACATAGGGAGACCCTGTCTCGCTCCCCCACCATGGTCCTATGAATGAGTTCTCACCAAAGTCGCTTCCGCAGTAGTGTAGCTGCCGGTGGGCACGACCACGGGTGTCAGGGCAGGGTGGGCAGGGGTCTATGGGGGGACAGTGATGTAAGGGGCACCAACTTCGCCCTTGCCCGCCCCACCCTGGTGTGTGCACCTCACCTGGGGCCCGTGTGGGGGCTCGGGCCATGGGAGAGTCAAGGAGCTGGGGGGGCTGGGGCTCCACCTCACGGAGCTGTGGCTGCCGCTGGGCCCAGCCCAGGACCTGCGCCTGTGCCTGGAAGGGGCCGTAGCGCTCTCCAGGAAGCCAGAACTCAAACTGGACGCCAGGGTTGGGCTCCCGCAGGAGGACCTGGAGGAGGGCACCGGGCATTGCTGGAGAGCAGGGTCCGAGCCCCCTACTGACCCAGCCTCCCCACTCAGACCCTCTGTCCCAGACTCCCCCCACCCTCTAGGAGGCCCTGCACAAACCTGCAGGAGCAGGTCCTGGGAGGTGGGCCCGGCCGCCTGCAGCGTCTCCTCCAGCCCCGCGGCGCGGGTGTAGACCACGCGGGTGCCCGCAGCCTCATAGGTGCCCGGGGGGCTCACTGCCCAGTTACCATTGAACACGTAGCGCCCATCGCCGCCCATCAGCGCTGCAAGGGAAGGGTCAGGCGGGATCCCCGGAACCGGCCCACTGCCCTCCTGGACTCAGGACTCCTCCCCTGTCTCAGTCTCCCCAGCTGTGAACAGGAGTGGGGGGCACCGCCAGCAGGGCGCCTCCTCCCTACGACCCTATGTTACCCAGGTGGTTCCGGCTCCGCTGCACCACGCGGATGTGTCTGGCGCCCACGGGGATCAGGGTCACGTTCCAGTACCCGGCGAAGGCACCTAGGGAGGAGGACAGGAGGGTGTTAGGGCGCCGGCGGGATGCATGTGAGTAGTGACTTGAGGATTAAATAAAATGTTGAGGGAAGGGAACTAGCCAGGGTCCTGGTACCCAGAAAACGCTCCGGGAATGTCCGGCGTTACATGGATCGCTAAAGTGCGGCACGGAAAGCTTTAAAACCCAGTCTGTGCTGGAGAGGGCGGGACAATATGACAGTAACCAATAAAAATGAAGGGCCAGAGGGACAGGGCCGCAGATTGCCCAATCAGAATGGGACTTCGCTTCCGGGTCCACGGCTCCTTAAAGGGCCCACTCCAAACGTGCGTGAAGGGAAGATGGGGAGTGTGGTCACCAGCGTCACGGAACACGCGCTGCACGAAGAGACAGGAGTCATTGGCGCCGCCGCAGCGGCCACAGCGGTCCTCGAGGGCGCCAGAGCCCAGCACTCCGTCACAGCCGGCGTTCTGCGGGAGTGGTGGACACAGAAGTCACAGATTGGGGAGGCGCGTGGACTGGCACAAGAGTGGGGCCTGAGTGCTAGAGACTGGGTGGGAGCCTAGGGTGGGTGGAACTTGGGGCGGGACACTGAGAGGCGGGGCCTGGTAGCAAACGCCGGCCCTGGAGACAGGAGGTGGAGCCCAGGGAGGGTAGAGCTTGAGAGAGGCGGGGACTGGAGGAGGGTCTGAGTAAAAAGTTGGGCCCTGGAGCGAAGAAGCTGAGATGGATCTCAGGAAGGGTGTCTGGGGGCGGAGCCTGTAGGTAGAAGTGGGGCGGAAAATAAAAGGGTTAAGGACCTAAGGATGGGAGCGAGAATTAAAGGGAGGCCCTGGAGGAGAACACTGGAGGTGGAGTCTAGGGAGAGGGTGGCCTCTAGAAAGCTGAAGCCTCAGAGTAGATGGGCGGGGCCTGGTGGAATAAGGGCGGTCCCTGGAGGGAGGAGCCTGATAGGGTGGGGCCTGTAGGGGCAGGGTTTAGATGAAAAAGGCGATGCCTAAAGTAAAAGTGATGAGAACCTAGGGGTGGGGCCTGAGAGTTAAAAGCAGGGGGAGAAAATGATTGGAGGTGGAGCCTAGGGGGGTGGAGCCTAGAGAAAAGGGGGTAGATCCTGGAGGGAGGCGGTTGAGGGTGGAGATTAGGGACAAGTGGAACCGGCAGGGAGGGGTGGCCGAGCCTAGAGGCAGGCACAGGGCCTGAAATAAAAGATGGGATGGGGCCTGGGTTTGGGGCTGAAGGAGGCTGGGCGGGGCCTTGGGATGTGGGCGTGACCAGGGCGTGGCCTGGCAAGTCCTCACCAGGCAGCGGCCAGCCACGCAGAGGCCCTGGGCTCCTGGGCTGCAGGGCGTGCCGTCCAGTACGCGGCCGAAGCTGTGGTAGAAGGCTTGCCCCTTGGCCAGGCAGTTGAGGTCGCACTGGTTGGGCGCTGGACACAGGGAGAGGGTGTGCTGAGGATTGAACTCAGGACCTTCGCACTGAGCTATATCCCCTGCTCTTCATTTTTGTTTTGAGACAGAACCTCACTAAATGTCACTACAGTGTCCAAGCTGAGCTGAAACTTGGAATCTTCCTGCCTCAGCCTCCCAGAGTGCTGGCTTTAAGCAGCCACAATTTCCTAGCCACTGTTGAGCACCTCAGTTTGCCGCACCAGGCTGACCTCACTTGACTCTGGTCCTTGTGTACAGTAGGGACCCAATAAAAAGTGTTCAGTACAAGCCTGGTGCGGTGGTACACACCTGTAATCCCAGCGCTTGGGAGGCTGAGGCAGGAGGGTTGCCAGGAGTTTGAGGCCAGCCTGGGCTACATTGTGAGTTCATTGTAGTCTAAACTACATATCTCAGAAAAAAGAAAAAAATGTATCCAGTAGGGAGTCCTGCGGGTCTCAGTTTTCTCTTGTGCCTCATCATTGGATCACAGCCACAAGCAAACAGCCCTGAACCCTGTCCTGGCTCCCGGGTCCCTCCCCAGCCTGAGGCAGACACTACCTGAAAAAGGGCCGAGGTGGTTCTGGGGGCCTCTGTGGGGATGGGGTTACTTCGAGGAGAGAGGAAGCATGCAAACGAGACCACGAGGCTGAGGAAGGGGCTTTTTCCACCCGAGGCTCTTCTTATGTCTTTGCTGTGGTGACTGAGGCTGCCTGTCTCCCTAAAATCTGGAGGCGTGCTGCCCCGGGCACAGTTATATAACTCACTATTTTCAGCTCATTGCGGCAACATTTCCCATCACTGGCATTAAGTTTGAGCACCATGGCCCTCTAGACAGTAAATCCTCAGCCTGGGGTTTGACCCTGTAGAGAATGGTCACTGTTTCCTTCTGCCACTTTTTAATGTGGCACTTCAACAACTTCTACATACCCTTCAAAGCCCTGGCTTAATGCTCCTACTCTGCCCAACCCTCCAGGTCTTTCTTTCTCTTCTCCTTGTCGGAAATGGGTTGTTCACTCTGTGCACTGCAGGACCACTACTCACCCCCATGGAAGGGTACCCATTGGTAGGTTTTCTGGTCACCCAGGACAGGGCGGCCATTGTAGAGGGCACACTGAAGGTCTCGGAAAGGCATGGCCCCTGGTGAGCAGTCCTGAGGGCAGAGATAGATGGATGAGCCCTCCAGAAGCCCAGCAAACCTGTGACAGTGTGGCGGGAATGTGTGGTGTCAAGGGCAAGACAGCAACAGCTTCAGGGCGACTCAAGGAAGTGAGCAGAGCTTACTGGGAGCTGGCAGAGGCGGTACTCATGGCTGTCCCCAGAGCACGGTTCTTCCCCCGGAAACCTGGCAGGAACGGGGCAGCTTGAGTGGGCTCAGAACCCCCAGGGACCCCCTCCTAGCGCTGCCCGGTCCACCTTCCGCCCACAGCCCCACCCGCATCCCAGCTGGATCCCTGGGACTAAAGGGCACAGCCTGTGTGGGTGGGTTGGGGCGTGGTCAGGACTGGGCGTGGGCAGCCGGACAAGCGGGTGTAACGCTGACCCCCGCCCACCAAGCCCGCCCTATCCTACCCCCCCTCACCGGATGCAGCGGCGGCTGCGCACTGAGACACCCCGCCCGCACGAGCTGGAGCAGCGGGTCCAAGACCCCCACGGCGTCCACTCCCCGGGACCCTACTTGGGGAGACAGAGGCGGGTCGGCCTGGAGGGGAACCGGTGACCTCGCACCTCCGGCCGCCTCCCATTCTCTCCCTGCCCTCTTACCTGAGCGCTGACCTCCGAACCACAGCTCAGAAGGGTCCACAGCAAGAGAAGGAGATTCTGCAGAGGGCGGGGTCTGGGGGAGCAGAGGAGGCCCATGCAGCTGGCACACGCAGGACAGAGGCTGGACCCCATCTCTGCCCTAGCTGGCTGTGTGATCTTGGAGAGTAACTAAACTCTCTGAGCCCTTCTCGTCTCTGAAAAAAAAATGAGGCAATACTAGGACTCCTCTTACTGGGAGGTTTTCAGGGTTGGTTGGATCAGGTAGATCACAAAGCGAGAGAACTCAAAACTTCATCTGAAGCAGGCCTGGTGATGCAGGTCTGTAATCCCAGCACTCTGGAAGCTGAGGCAGGAGGATCTCGAGTTCAAGTCTAGCCTGGGCAACTTAGTGACTTAGGGAGAGTCTGTCTCAAAAATAAATAAAGAAATAAAAAGGTCTGGGGATGTAGCTCAGTTTGAAGGCCCTGGGTTCCATCCCCAGTATCAGAACACACGCAAGCGCGCACTTCATCTGCTATTGCTATTGGTTGTACATTAGCATATGATGCACACAGTAGGGGTTTAATCAGTCTGGTGATTGACGAATCATTCATCGTTCCCAGGGTTGAGGACTCTCACCACTTTCCAGGTCATCATTGCTTCTACCTTCCTGCATGGCCAGAGGCCGGCCACTCCACTTCCCCAGGCCTCAGTTTCCCCGTCTGTGCAGCTGGGACCAGCTGGGATCAGTCTGTGATTCTATGAGACCCTGCAGAGGGTGTGGCCATGAGGGCTGGGTCAGGAGCTGGATCCCTGATGGGGCCCCCTGCAGCTGCACCCCAGCCTCCAGGGTCATCCTGGTCCCCTGACCCACCCAGCAGCAGGGAGCCCCCAGTTGGGGTGCAGCAGGGGATGATGACCTGGCTCGGGTCCAGCTGGCATCTCGTGGCTTCATCTGCAGGGGTGTGGTATAGAGCTAGGGGGTCTGCAGAGGAGAGGGGGAGGCTGATGGTGGAGCAGCTCGGGGCCTCAGTTTCCCCATCTGTCAGGAGAGAGTCATGTCACTTGGCACCCACACTGTCCTTGTGGCCATGGCCTATGACACAGCAGGTGACCAGGTGGCCAGCAGCCTGACAGGCAGGGAGAACAGACTCGATCCTCTCTGGACCCCTTGCCAGGCCTGAGCACAAAATGGGGAGCTACAAACCACCCTCTCACTGCTCTAAATGCCCCTCCTCCTCAAGCTGGTTGTGGGGGCGCATGCCCGTCATCACAGCACTCTGGGAGGCTGAGGCAGGAGGATCCCATATTCCACCCCAGCCTGGCAATTTAGTGACTTAGGGAGACCCTATCTCAAAAATATTTTAAAAAGGGCAAGGGATGTAGCTCAATGAGAAGGCCCTTGGTTCAATCCTCAGCACCGAAAAAACAAAGTATACTCCTCAAAGGAACAAGGCACCCCTTTCCTCATATTGGCTACACCTCATGATTGGCACAGCTCTCTCAGGGCAAGTCACCCCTTGAGCCTCAGTTTCCCCCAGAGGAAGTGGGAGCATTGAGCTCACTCGTACCCCGGGAGTGGGTGCCTTATCACCCACAGGGTCAGGTGAGAGGTTAGGAAGAGGGACTTACCGACTGCGCAGCGGGCAAGCTCCGGGTGCCCCGAGCGAGCGGAAGCGACGGGGCCCAGGGCACGCTGGGGAGGGCAGCGGCCCCCGTGCGCCCCCACGTGGTGTCCCTGCCTGTGGGTGCTGGTGACCTTGGGACTGGGCGCCTGCATCCGCCACCCCGGGCTGCTATTCCGGGAGCAGCGCTCAGGGCCAGGGAATGTCCACGACCGAGGTCGCCACGCCCCGGGTCGACGCGTCCCCGACACCGGGATGGCGCCCTACTGGGGTCTTCGTCCCCGAGGTTGTCCTGGGTTATAGGGCCACCCCCATGCGCCCAGGCTCCCTGCGATTCCAGCCCCCCCCCCCCGCCCTGCCGTCTGCGCCACCCCTAAGCAGGGCCCCCTGTGCACTGGGGAGCGGCTGCGCCCCGGGCGGGCGGAGAGACCCTCCCAGCCGCATTCCCGGGCGCTGCTGTCACTGGGACGCGCCCCACCCCGCCTCAGCCCGCCCTGCCCAGCTGCCTGCCCGCCAGACCGGGTCCGAGTGTCCTCGCCTCACGGCCCCCACCTTCTCCATCCTCAGTTTCCCCATCCGCGCAATGGGGTCGGCGGGGGTCTCCACCGTGAATCTTCCAGCTGCACTCAGCTTTTTGCACCGACTGGCAGAGACCTGGAAGCCCTGACCCCACCGAGTCCTGCCCCAAGCCTGCCCCCCCCCCGCCCACCCAGGGACTAGGTCGGCGCCAGGTGCGCCCACCCCCTTCTGGCTGCTGTGGCCCTTAGGCGACCCCTGGAAGGCAGGGCACTGAGAGGGCCGGAGTGAACTGTCCTTTAGCCTGTTTGGCTCGCCCTGACTGCCCTCTGCTTCAAGATGGCCACCCTGACCTGGGCTTGGTGGCGCATGCCTGGCATCCCAGTACTCTGGGAGGCTGAAGCAGGACAATTGCAAGTTAAACCCAGCCTTCAGCAGTTTAGTGATTGAGTAACACCCTGTCTCAAAAAATAAAAAGGCTGGGGATAGAGCTCAGTGTGAAGGCCTTGGGTTCAGTCTGCAGTGGCTGGTGAAAAGGAAGGAAGGACCCACCCAGCCTTGAGCTCAGGAAAAGTGGCTGCCCAAGGTGGCTGGCCCCACTCTGTCCAGCCACAAGCTGCAAGCCTCTCAGAGCAGAGTGACCAGTGCATTAATTGAGCACCACTGTATGCCCATGCAGCTGTTCAAGGCCTGACCAGTCATGGGCCAAGGGGAAGAGGCAGACCCTGGATTGTATTATCCCACTCCTTGCTCAGGGCAGGGGTCAAGGAGGCTCTCACTGTGGAGAGGTCACAGGGAAGGACAGCCTAGCTCAGAAGCTTCATGAGCAGAGCCCCCAAGGCTGGAGTCAGGGCCAATGGGGAGGGCCTAGGATGAGCAGGGCGCCAGGCAGGTTGGAGATGAGGTGGGTGTAGGGAAGGGTTTAAGCCAGCAGGGGGTGTCTTCTGCATGGGCTGTGGGGAATGTGGGGGTGGGGGTGGCAGATGGAGTGGAGTAGGGATGCGGGGGGAAGGGACAGCAAGGGTGGAAACCTACTGAACACCAGAGGTATACAGGCCTATAGACTGGGGCCTGGGAGCATTAGAAATAACTCAGGCTTGGGCTCTATCAAGTGGGCAGTCACATGCCCCCCAGATGCAGCCCTTTCCTGCAGGTCTAGGCCACTGTGCCTGCAGGGAAGGCATACAGCAGGCACTGTGCATTGTAGGTGTGTGCACAGCACATGTTGTATATTGTTATGCATACTTTTTTTGGTACTGGGTATCGAACTTGGGACCTTGTGCTTTCAAGGCAGGCGGCAGAACCACTGAGCTAAATCCCTGGGCCCAGATGTTGTATATTGTAAGGTGGACGTAGAGAAGGTGCTGTGCATTGTAAGGCAGACATACAGCAGGCACTGTGCATTGTAGGTGTAGCATATGCAGCCAGCCTCATGCTCTGTGGGAATATACACACAGTCATACCTTGATACTTAACACCTCTGGAATTTTGAAACCGCTGAATTTGGTTCTGAACACAGTTGGATGGGAAAATTTTGTCCAGTACCCATCGTTTGTTTGGTATTCATCGTGCAAGCTAGAACTTGTTGGTGTCAGTTGCCTCATGACTCACTAACCCCTCCAGCCAGAACAACCAAGGACAAGTACCAAAGTAGCACTGTACACAGAAGGCACTGCACCCTGAATGCAGGACACACATTCAGCAGGCACTGGGCCAGCAGGAAGTACATATAGCAGTGACTAGCCCTGCAGGGTGCACAACCAGCAGGCACAGCGCCTTTCGTGGGGGACCTAGCATGGGTGGGGTCATGTGTGGGGTGAGTTATGGAGTCTGTGATAGCCTGCTGTGGGCTCCCTGCCTCTCAGGCCTGGTCTTCTTGGTTGGACACATCAGATTCTCCAGAGGAGGGAGGAGGCTAGGGTTCAGCCTAGCCTGGTGCAGGTGGAGGGGCAGCTGCTGGTGTTCCACCCTGCCCTTGCCAGCACCCCAGCCCAGGGCTCATGCAGAGCCTCTCACTCTGAGCTCTCCTCACTCCCAGCATCCAAGAGGGAGGGTCAGGATGGGGATGGGTGGCCTGGCTCAGGTCCCAGGCATGTGACTCAGATGCTCTTGCCACCTCTGCATCTCATGACCTTTCAGGTTAAGAGCATCTTGCCTAGCCGGGTGTGGTGGCCAGTGCCTATAATCCCAGCACTCAGGAGGCTGAGGCAGGAGGATAGGCAGTGAATTCAAGGCCAGCCTGAACTGCAGAGCAAGACCCCGTCTCAAAAAATCAACCACCCTCCAAAAAACAAAACAGAATGAACAAACAAAAACAAAATAACATCATGCCTAGCCACCTAGCCTGGTGTGGTGGTGCACATCTGTCACCCCAGCTACTCTGGACACTGAGGCCAGAGCATTACCAAGTTGAAGTCCAGCCTGAGCAACTTAGTGGGGCCCTGTCCCAAAATAAAAAATAAAAAGATTTGGAGATGGGGCTGAGTATTGAGCACTTGCCTAGCATGTACAAGGCCCTGGGTTCCAGCCCCAGTAAAGCAAACAAAACGAATATTGTATCTTAGTTAGCAGCACAGTGCTGGACCCTTCAGAATTTGTCCAGAGGGTACAGCCTGGGCAACACAGCAAGACCTCATCTCAAAAATAAACAAACATGGGCCGAGGATTTAGCTCAGTGGTTCTGCTGCCTGCCTTGCCTGCCTCGAAAAGCACAAGGTCCCCAGTTCAATCTCTGCTACCAAACAAACAAATAAATATCTGAGGGTGGTAGCGCACATCTGTAATCCCCAACTCCTCAGGAGGCTGAGACAGGAGCATTGCAAATTGGAGCCAAGTCTGGTCAATTTACTAAGACCTTGTCTCCAAATAAAAAACAAAAAGGGCTGGGGGCGTGGGTCAGTGGCAGAGCACCCTGGGTGCAATCTCCAGGACCACAGAAAGAAATACATACATGCATGTCATGTGTTATGAGGGTAGAGTTCATGGTAAAAATTCTTACCACAAATAAAACCAAAGGGGCACATGTTTGGGAGGTGACGGATATGCTGGTGACCTTGACTAGTGATCGTATCACAGGGACTTTGTGTGCATCCACACTCACCCAACAGCACACATCGGAGGTGTGCAATTCTTCAATTCCACCCCAATAAAACTTTAAAAAAAATTTTTTTTCTTTTGTTTTTTGTTTTTGCACCTCTAGGGATGAACCCAGGGCCTTGTACATTCTAGGCATGAGCTCCCCACTGAGCCACACCCCTGGCCCATAAAGCTGTGGTTAAAAGTAAATTAAACTCGGTCAGGCATGGTGACACATACCTGTAATCCCAACAATGAGGGAGGCTGAGGAAGGAGGACTGCAAGTTTGATTCCTATTTGGGCAATTTAGAAAGACCTTGTCTCAAAATAAAAATAAGCAAATAAATAAATAAATAAATAGGACTGGGGATGTAGCTCAGGCCCTGGGTTCCATGCTCAGTACCACAGAAAATTAATTAATTAATTACATTTGAAAAGGAAATGCCCTCCAGATCTGGGGCCTCTCTGTGGCCTCCTGATGGCTCTGCCCCCACAACTCTCCACTGTTTCGCATAATCCCTTGGGCTCGGCCACCCAGTCCCCATCTTACAACATGGGCAGCTCAGAAATGGGGACCCAACACAGTCAGGGGCACCCCATGGAAACTGAGGCTCTGGATCCTCCATCCTCCCATACTGACTGTCCAGAATTCTTTGAGGAGATGGCTCCTCCCTCCTCTCTGCCCACCTCAGATCTCGGAAACTGCCCTGTCCCCTTGCCAGGTTGAACCCTACCAGTCCGCTGTCATGCCTGGGGTGTCCAGAGGGCGTGGCCTGCCCCTCTATGTACCAAATGACCCTTGGGCAGCCAATCAGAAAGCTCTCTCCCAGCCATGGTGATTGGCTGGGAGATAAGCATGTGACCCAGGTGGACCAATGAAAGCCTGCCCTGTGACTTCCACTGGACAGTTTGAGGACAAGTATCTTTTTCTGTGGCTGGGGTTGTCTAGCAGGGTGAGTGTGAGCTGGGATTGCTTGAACCTTCTTTACCACCCCCGAGCAGCACTGTCCTGGGGAGAGGTCAACATAAAAGGCAGAAAGTGGAATTTCTGAGATGCTTGAGTTCTTGGATTGAGCCTCACTTGAATCCATCTCTGATTTTTTTTTTTTTTTACTTTAGCAACTTTGAGCTCTTTTTACTTCTAATCAAAAGGTCCCTTTCTGATAAAAACCATGTCTCTTTCATCAGCCCCCATCCTGGGACAGTTTCTACCTCTCATATCTCAAATGAGCCACAGACACAAGCAGCAAGACTTGATCATCAAATTGGGTTGATCATGAAGTGAGTTCTTAGGAATAAAGTGTGGCTTTGTAGGATTTGTTGTTGCTTTGTTGTTGTTTTTTTTTGGTACCGGGGATCAAACTCTGGACCTTGTGCTTGCAAGGCAGGCGGCGGCACCACCGAGCCACATCCCCAGCCCTTGTTGTTGCTAATAGTATGCAGGAGATAAATGGGATGGGGGACCGTGGAGAACAATTTGGTGACTCCTCAAAAATTTAAACAGAGCCAGGGATTTAGCTCAATGGCACTGTGCCTACCTTGCTAGCACAAGGTCCTGAGTTCGATCTCTGGTACCAAAAAAAAAAAATGTAAAAGGAAAAGAAAAATTTAAATAGTCCAGCATAGGGGTGCAGCCTGTACAAGCTGTTTGGGAGGCTGAGGCAGGAGGATCACAAATCTGAGGCCAGCCTGGGCACTTAGCAAGACCCTGTCACAAAATAAAAAGAATTTGAAAAGG